ACGAATCATCGAGTCGATACTAACGAAGCCTTTCAGGTTGTCTTCCGGACACAGGGTAATGTTTCTAAGGGCCTACGCCAACGAGTGCTAGCAACAGCCGAGGCAGTGGCTATACGACCAGCTAATCCAGTGCTCTGTTTTCAGAAGACGCTAACACAGGTAATTTCATTTCCGTGGCCGACGCCGACACTAGGTGGCGATTGCATATCGCCCCCACGTCCTAGTGACAAACGTTCGTGTACAAATGACAGTAATTATCACTCCATGTACCTGACCCCTGACCAATGCCCACAATCTAACCTAATTTCCTCCCCTACCCCAGCACAGGGACCTCTACACGCGGACCTCGCCATGCGAGCGGCGTAAGAACGATGAGTTGTAATCAAAGTACACTTATTAACTCTGTCCGACTCTATAATTTTCATTATCCTTGGCCTGATGAAGAGTTGCTGAAAGCATATGTTTGCCAAAGCGACCATTCTAATATCGCGAGATCTTTGGAAAGTTGCGAAAATTCTCATCAGAGAATTCAGAAGAGTAATCTTTAGCTCCATAATCAAGCATTCCTTTAATCTTCCGGGTAGGATGCTGCCGGGATTTCTGAAGTCCAGCCAAATATATACACTTTGTGAAGACCATTCGATCGCTGGGACAACACTTATATTCACCCGATGTTTCGATATCCGTCGCGAATTCTTCATGAGAAACATGAGCAGAAAGCAGTAGCAGGTAATACATGCACAAGACCTTGTGGTATTTATAGGATAGAGTCATTACTGCACACTTACGACAATTTACGATAACTGCCCTCTTTGTGTTGATTGCTTGATCACCGGCATGTGGATCATGACCTTCTGAACTTGCATTACGCGTGGTAGAATTGGACCTGATGGTTGCTCGGCCATCTAATTCCCCGCTGTTTGCGTAAGACGGCGTGGTATCCTATGTGATCCCCAAGTGGCGAATCGCTTTGACCAAATTGAGAATCAGCACCAAATATGGATTAGGCAGGTCATTGCACTTTTTTATGGACTGTGGGGTTGTGAACCATAACTCAGGTAATTCGCGGCTCACATGATTGCCATCCCTCACGAGAACGCCGGCCTCATAAAATTTGAATGTGTGGCCGGGTCTCGTCGGAGGACCCGAAACTTGAGAAATAGAAGCAATTTGCCGCACTGCTGCCGCGTTTTCGGCAATTTACGTCTTGAGCAGCCTTCCAGTTTCTTCGACTTAGTTGCTTTGACCGCAACTGCACCACAGCCTATAGACGACCCTGGATGTGTCTTGTCATGGTAGTGGTTCTTTGGGTTGCATTATCTGACGCCTTATGCTTGCCTCCAGCCTGTGTGCGACTTCATCTCGAAGTGACGCGAGAAGGCGGCCGACGGCCTCCGAGACGTCTATGACGTATGGAATAGTTTTCCAACATTTGGCGTTGGTGCCATTTTGCCGCTCATTTCGTTTGCGCATAGACCGGTTGACAAGGTTGCGCGGGTAGCCATTTTATCTAAACACCCGTCGAAGATATTGTATTTCGGCACCTTCTTCCGGTTCACTCCAGTGCGTCTCAACACGCCGACAACGTCCTAGTTGCCGCAGCTAAGATAACTGGATTCTTTTGGGACCCAGGCTATGGGCTGATTTGTAATAAACCTGGAGTTGCGCTAACGTGCAGGGAAAAATTGGCCTAGGTTTGGAGTTCTCCTTAGGGCTAGGTTTGAGTTAAGGGTACGATTTTCTGCCATTTTCTGGTTATTTATAGAAGAATTAACTTTAGGGTTAGTGTTATGGTTATATTTTAGCAACAGGACCACACCATAACTTAGTGCTATTCCTCCTATCCTACTAACGTGTCCACATAATCCTGTCTGGCGCTGGATTTACGGCCTCTATGATCTGCTGCTGACTGCATGGTTGTTATTGGAGTGCAGCACTTGCATATTATTTGTCATTTTCCTGAACACTTTAGGGCACCACAATCTTTGCGGCAGCCGAAGCTATCAAGGAAGGCCAGCTGATTGTTTTCTTCCTCCTCTATTGTAAATTGTATGTCGGGGCTGCAGCTGTTGAGACATCCTTTCAACGTAAACAACTGATCCCGTTCGATGACGAGGAGGGTATCATCCATATACCACGTCTACAATTTCGGTGTTTGGCGACTCTAACCGCTGTAGGATCGCACCGTCTGAGGCCCGAAATTGATAAAATACTTGGTTTTACTCTCATCTGCTCATAAGCTGTTCCACCAAACGTGAAGTACGTTCTGAAGTAGAATTTCAGGACCCGTAGGATTTGGGCATGTCCAAGGCAATTCTCCAGTCCATCGTATTTGCTTGGGAGGGGTAGGTTGACTGTCTTCACTGTCAGATCCTGAGGGATATAATTTAAAAGGGACGTGACATCAAAGGATAGCATGACGCCGAAAGATCCACTTTGCTAGTCTGTACAGTGGAGTGCCTTTCAGTGGTACTATGGGTCAGAGAGGAGCGCCCTCCTTGTGCATCTTGAGGAGTCCATAGAAGCGGGACAAGGCCGTTTCTGGCGCCGTTGCCATGGGTCGGTTGGCTGGTGTTATTGGACAATACGACAATTTGGAAAAGTACTCTCTTGATCCTTCTAAGTGGACGACATTTTCTTAACGAAATCCCGTCGTATGTTGATGAAGGTGATTGTAACAGCTGGCGTCCGGTGACAGCTAATGACTTGCTCCACCACTAAACTGTGGATTATTCCTTTTTTAATTTCGGCTATTTCATTATCTTCTAGACCCTGCAGCTGACCCATATCCACATCTGCTTTTCGAGAGATGTCTGGAAGTGTTCAGTTCGTAACGTCGCCCTCAATACCATACGCCTAAGCAAACGAAAACCTGAATAAAGGTATGCTCTGTAACACTAGTCCATTAATGTGGGTCAGTATGCTCACTAATGATTCACAGGGCAAAAGTAGCTTATGTAGCCCCACTCATATACCCCTAGTCCCAGCATT